CTCTGACACTGATGTTTCCCTCCATCTCTCTCTCCCTCCTGTCCCCTCTCTCTAAAAATAAATAAATAAAATCTTAAAAAAGAAGCAGCCAAATTCTTTCAGGGAGTATCAGACAAAAGGGAGAGACTTGGTGAGGAAAAGAGCAGGGCCCATCTAATATGGGTGGCAGGTTCCCAGAAATAGCCCCAGGTGCTATTTTGGTCACCAGTTCCCCTGGCCTTTGCCTGGGGCACTCCTTTCTTACTCTCCTCCTTATTCATCCTGTGGTCCCAGGAGATCTTCACACCAGCCACTGGCCCTGCCCCATCGTTCATACCACATTTTTTTTATAATTGCTTGTTTGTTCACTGACTCTGGGAGACTCAAAGGCTCCTTGAAGGCAGAAATATCCTGCCTGTCATATCTGCCTGGCACATAGTGGTCACTCAGTAAATATGTGTTGTTTTGCATATATTTTCAATTTCTGGATTAGTTGGAGTGAAAGTACCTCAGACTCACCCAACATTCAGTTTTAATGATAAACAGGCTGTTTTGTTGGTTTCTAATTCAAGGAGGGGCTTACATGGCTGGTGCCCACTGAGAATCATATGGATGATACTAACAAGGAGAGGCATTTTCACATCTTGTTACCACCAAGTTCACATGCGTGGCATCAACCATTTGAAGAGATAACTCCCATTGACCAGGCATGTTAAAAGAAGAGTGTGGCAGGCTTGTCCGGGGCTCAGCCACACATCGAGTTGCCTGAAGTTAGTGGAATGATTGCAGGTGGTATGCTTTGCCAGACTCTGTAGCTAGGGAAAATCGAAGGCAGCATTCCCAGTGTCTATGAGCGGCCCCAGCATGGCAGCCGCATCTCAGAACCATGGGCTTCACTGTAGCAGATGTGCAGGGCTCTTTTGAGGCCTAGGAGATGGGAGAGCTGGAGGTTTCATGGTCAGGGCTGATTGTGAACTCCTCTGTGATTGCAATGTACCACACTAGGGAGAACGGAGAAGTCAGAGTGCAAAGCAGAGGTTGTGACCAGATAAAGGAGGAGGCTAAGAAGACACAGCTGCTGGTCTGGGGCTTAGATGAGTGTTCACCGAGGACCCATTTCCAGCTAAGCCTGTGACTGGGTAAACGGTCATATTAGAGGGGTGGCCTTCTTAGACTAGTGATTTCTGGACTCTGTCACTAGGATATTTTGGATGGTTAATCCTAAGTTCTATTTTTAGACCTTTGGAGTGAAAGCAGGAGCTCATGTGCCTGGCACCCGTTAGGAATTTTCCGCTCATCCCCAGTGAAGCGAGGCACTGACCTATCGCTGGGCCAGAGGAGGAGGCCTGGCTCGCAGTTCAGTCATCTCACCATGTCCTCAGCCTGGAACTGGCTTAAGTAAGGGGACGAAGGGGAATGGAGGCATGAGGTCCTTTCTGAGGGAGTCTTCAGGACAGCCTCACCCCTGGGTGTTCAAAAGAACCTAAGGACCTTGCCAGGCAGCTGCTGAGATCTCTTGACAACAGTGGATGGACGATAGCTTTTCAAGGCAAGGACAGGAGAGTGAAGGTCTTTTAAGTTCACTTCTTGTCTGGGGAACAGCATCCCTGCAGTCACTGCAGTCGACTCATCCCACGGCGGGGCTGCACCCGTCACTCTGGTTTGGCAAGCATAAAACAAATCAATGCAGAGAATTCATAAATTAGAAAAGTTTATATTTCAAGAACGAAGGTCTGTGGCCAAACTGTGCAGGCCTTCGCAAGCAGATCTCAGCTAGGCCAGATCCAAGCAGCAGCGCACTCATGCAGAGGCCACCTGAGAGGGCTGGGGACAGCAAATAGGGGAACAGCCACCCTACCAGGATTTACAGCCCCAGGCAGGCTACCCTGAAAATCCTGACGCCCAACAGGCAAATCAACACCATACACACCAGTCAGGGGGTAGGTGAGAGTGAATACAGCCAGAAGAGTTTGTCACTGAAACAGAGTGGTCAGAAGCTGACACTACCTCTCTGCCATCAGACATGAAAGTCTTCAGGGTAAAAAGTGCTCAGATCCAATCTTCAGGGAATGCAGTTTGAACCTTGATGTTATGTCTATATAAGCATGGTTAGGAGAGAAGAGTCTCTGCATGTTAATGTTTGACAAAGAGTGTGAATTCTGGCTTTAAAATCCTGCATTTGCCATTTCCTGGCTGGTTACACAACCATACAGTGCCAGTTTAGTCCTCCATAAATGCAAATGGAAACCCAGGACCCTTTTGACAGAACTGGGAGAAGTTGGGAGGTCAAGGGCTTCTCTAGTGCTGTGCCTGGCCATGTATGTTAATGTTGACATTTGAGCTTTCAGGTTTGTTGCTCACCTCGGGCAGCTGACCCTTCCTTGGTAAACTATTTGATGATGGCAGTTTGAAACTGGTGGGTTTTATAGCCTGTGTTTGTGAAAGGGTGGGGTTGAGGGAGGGGGTCATCTTCATTCTGTCTTCTCAGTTTCTCTCAATGGCCTCTGCTTCCCGGAGAGGGTGCAGGGTCTCCAGACCCACCTTTGCCTTTCTATTTCCCTTTCCTTCTCTTCCCTCTTCCCATCCTCTCCCTTTCTTTTCTTGCTGCTGCTTCTTCTTTCCTCTCTCTTTCTCTCTCTCCCTTGTGCTCCTCCTACAACAAAGATAGTGGGGCAGGCCAGACCAGAGATATCAGAATTATCTTTTCACTCAAGTGATCAAGTCCCAAAGTCTTCATCGGTAATCCCCATTATGGTCAGCACTGTCCCCAGCTGAGGCCAGTCCTCCTCCCTGCCGAGGACCTCAGGCCTCCACTCTCCAAAATTCCCAGTTTTCCCTTGGCTGAAAAGTGTCCAGGGTTTGTTAGGATAGGGGAGGTCCCTCACGCAAGTTAAAATTCCCCTCAGGGCTTCTTTTCCAAGGGCTCTTACCTGGAACAGAGGGAAATATTGGCTTTGGGTTATAAATCCGAGTTCTTTTGTTGTTTTTGTTAAGTTCTGGTTGCTCACTGCCCAACCCCCTCTCAATCTCTGCACCTCTCCTCAATTCCGAGAGTGAATACTTTAGTGATGCTATTTCTGGTCTGATAAGTACAGTGTTCTGATCCTCTGGCTCTGCTGAGGGACTAAGGATATGAGTATTCAAAATTATTCTTGATAGTAGAAACGGGTTAGTTTTTTTGTCACTAGATAAAGATTATTGTATGCTAAATACTGAAATTTACCCTCTCCAGAATACCAGACTGTTAACTTGTATTGTAGTAATAAGTTGAATGTCAGCTGACCCTATTGTATAGAATGAGTATATAGTCCCGGTGATCAGTCTGTTTAGAATAAGTCCCTTGTTCTGGGTTCTCCAGTCTTTGAACTTAGAGTAAAATCAGGGCAGAGCTAGGAAAGTACTTTAAAAAATTAAAAACAGAGTATAAGATTAGTAAACAATTGTAAACACATTTTGATCTTAATATGAAAAGCATCTATTATCTATGGGATGTTATCCAGTTACCAATAAAATTAAAGGAAACAACAGAGTTACAACATCTAACACTTGTATAGAGCTTGCTAAGCACCAGACACCATTTTAACTACTTTACATATATTAATTTATTTAACCCTCATGATAACCCTGTGTAATAGACATGGCATTGAGGCAGCATCGCTTAGAGATTAGGAAAATATACACTCCCAGGTGGGCTCTCTAGCCTTCAAATTCAGGGAAGGAAAAGTTGCTCTGGGCTGGGATGGAAGGAGAGGGCTTCATGAATGAGAGGGAGTCCATTGTCCCTCAAAGGGACAGTGTATCATTGCTACATTGTTCCTAAGAGACCCATGAGCTAATGACTGTTGATGCCTGGGACTAAAATAGCTGTCAGTTTATTCTGCAAATATACTTTTATTTTGGCAGTATGAAATGATGACTTTGCCTAGCAGATGCCTTTTGAATATCCTGAGGCCATCCCCTTAACCCAAAGTGAGTGATACACGTGTTACCCAGGTCTAAATGCAGCAGACACAGAAATAAGATTGTGACAACTGTCTATTCAAATATGGTGCATGTTCTTCAAAGGTGCCAAAATCAAGGTCAAGGGGGTTAATAAAGAAGGAACATTCATATGGCCTTGATGATATTCATGTTAGATATTTGGTACACATTTTAGCCAATATTTTCTCTTTAGAAATGTTTGCTTTGGGAATACATTCTGCAGAATGACAGAGACTTTATATTTTTGGGACCTCTAACTTGAAGAGAATTTATATGGCAGATGTTTCTTAGTTATTATAGTAGTAATAAAATCATAAAAAAGGTAAATATTTATGGAAACTCAATAACAAGATTATACATTCGGCATTGCTTCAACTATCTTTATGTCATAGGAGATTTGAAACCAACTCAGTTATTTAGCTACAAATGACATTCTTTGCACTAAATGATACTTCAAGTGTGAGTTTTCCCCTTATTTCTTCTACTACAGAATTCAACACAAAAAACTCTGAATCCTTTCATTTGTTGTTGACCTCACTACAGAAATGTTTTATGTTACCTTATGCTCATCCATTAGGGAGCTGGCTGTGCATGTGTGGACAAAAGGGCAAGTTTAAGAGGACAGTGGATAAAATTTGCCCCCTAGAGCAATAGGGCAGGGACACTTTCATGGTCAAAAATCTCATAAGAGGGATTGTGATTAACAAGGTATAATAATACATAAACAGTAGATTAATGCAAAGGACATAGATATGCAAAAAAAAAACCTTTGAAGGATGATCTATACAAGAGCAACATAGAGAAAAGCACAGCCATGGATATTATTAATATTATATTGCAAGCTTTGTGCTTTGAATGTGATCCAAATAAATGAGTCAGATTTGGCTTTGTAAGTTTTTATATCTTATATAATGAGAAAATTATCTCCTTAAGGGTTGGGCTTATAAATATTTGTTTAATATGACTCATTAATTAAACATGTGAAAGTGCTTATTGAGCATAAAACTAGGGGACTCTCGGTGTCCGTTTTGTTTTTTCAGAGTGAAAGTGCCCTTGTGAAAGGAAAAGAGCTGTCAATCGAACTTGCAAACATCAGGGATGAAGTTGGTAAGTAGGGCCTTGAAAATGAGGGATGTACAGAATGTCTTCTCCTGATACCTGTGAATGTATAACAAAAGCAATTATGTCTCATGTAATAAGCCAGAGCAAACCTGCCCAGACAAATGAAGTGTCTTACCCAGCACAGCAGGGGGCTATTGCAGCCTTGCAGGGAGCCATAATTTTTACATCTCTCTGGTCATAAAGACAGCTTCATAACAGTTCACAGTGGAGCTAATCAGGCCCTGACTCTGCTGCTCACAGATGGCAGCCCATCCATCTGCCTGTGTTTGTACTGTGACAAGCAACCATCATTTAGGCATCCCCTGGGCAGGCAGGGCTCCAAGAGAAGCAGCCCAGCTTCAGTGGACTACAAGAGGTGCTCTCTGGAACATGCATGTGTTCTGTGGTGCCTGCCACTGTTGTACCCTGCCACAGACTACTCTGTGAAATAGCACAAGGTCAACAACACAAGTTTGGGTGGATTAAAATGTGGAGGTTCATGTTGAAACTCCCAGTCTTCTGCTGATTGGATGGTGCTATTCAGTCTGAACCTTAAGAGACCTCACAGATGATAGGACGATCCCCAGACCCTGGGGCTTTCACTTGAAGCCAAAGATTAGACCAGGTGTTTGCCATCTTCCCATTCTTGATGTCATTTCTCTCTTGAGGGCCTGTTATTCTCTCTTCTCAAGAAGCAGTCAGCGAAGGTGAAATAACCATAGCCTGTTCCCCTTGGTCTGCTAACACTTCTCTTTCCAGTGAGCATTTCTCCTACATCTGGTGTGGTCTTGGGGACAGCCTACTATGTGCTGGTGTGGTTCCCTCTGGGAACAGAGGAACTGGGACAGTGCCGGCCACCCCAGTGCCTTTGCCCCCAGGCCAGCCATGAATGTGGGATTGAGTCTGAAAGCCAGATACTTCTGGGGAATCTGACCCTGAGGATGTGCAGTGGATAGTGTCGTGATGGCTAAACATAACTCCTCCCCCTCTTTTTAACCTTAAAATTTTTTCTTCACTGTGATTTTTGTGACTTCTTTTGTCATTGAGAGGGGTCAGGAATGGCCTCTTCTCCCCTCTAAGGAGAGCAGAGTCCTTGTGGGAAAGCAGGAAATAACAATTCCCCTTCCCAGCCTAAGCTGCAGGGCACCTCCACCTGGGTCACACCAGTTGGGGACCCCCGAGGATGAACCCCACAGGTTTTCTGAGCAAGGTCTGTCAGGAACAGCCAAGGCAGAGCTTGTACAGGGAGTTTCTAGGAGCCGAAGTCCGCAGGGCCTGTGCTTCTACATGAAGTGAAGGGATGCTTAGGTGATTCCGAGCACAGTGTTTGCAGGCACATGACCCACCTGGCCAAGTAGCGCAAGCTGGCTAATCTCTCTGTCCCTCCTTTCCCCTTCATAAAGAGGAAAGTCAGATAAAGAAGAGACTGGTGATGAAGCAGTCTGTGAGGGTAACTCTCATAACTATTAGGTTTGTAGCACCTTCCATCCAAAAACAGAGAGGAAATCTTCCACTCTAGGGTGAATCCCTCCCCATGCAGATCCCAGTGGCCAAGCTTTGGATCTGGGAGTGTGCACCCTGACCCAGCTGGGTAAGGTGGGCTGAATCCAGTGCAACTTCCCCCGTCCTTTCCAGAAGCTTCTAAATGCATCAAGAACCCCACAAAGATTACATTGAGGGTTTTTTTTTTTAAATATTTAAGTCTTATTTCATTTCTGCATCAGTGCTAAGAATAGAAGCATAAATTGCCTGCCAAATGAAAAAGCCATGGGGGTGGGGGTGGAGGGCTGGCAGCCTTGGGAGTCTCGTGGCCCCAGCCACTCAGCCCTGCATCCAGCCCCAGCAGACACTTCAGCAGCGAGCACCTGAGCCACTGTAGAGACTGCATTTGTAATGGAAGAAAGACAGGGGAATATGGGCTCGATGTTAACTGAAAATCCATAAATTCCAGTGTCTTGACTTGCACAGTATTCCCTTGAGAGGAAAACAAAATTAAGCTCACAAACCTGACTTAAAATGATCATAGATAAAGAGCAATGGTCAAGCCAAATAAAAATTAGGAATTTCCAAATTCAGACATGGAAGAGGGGAAGAGGCTGCACAAAGCAGGTTGTAGCCTGCAATAGGGCAGCTCTCTGAATGGGGGTTAACCCGCAGCCCTGTTGGGCCCCATTGTGCTCTGGCTGGCATGGGGCTGCTGCCACCCAGACACAGGACTTTTTTTTTTCTATTTGCTCAAAGGTACCATGTGGGCCAGCTGTGACCCAGTGCTATGTACCATTAATGTGAATAATACTCAGCTCATGTCCTCAAGCTGACAACCAAAGGCTCCGTGGAGGAGCAGCTGTCTGAGATGGGCCTTGTAGGATGACTAAGATTTGGGTAGATGCATGTAGAAAGGCAAAGAACACAACTATTGAGCAAATACTGAATGAAACCTGACACCCCAGTGAATGGGCCCTGGTCAAAGGGGTGCCACGATCCTTTTTCAGACATCACTCATTCTGCACATTTACTGAAGGAAAAACTATTTGTTTCCCCATTCTTCTTTCTGTGTATCAAAAAAGCTTTTCAAGCCTGGCATTTAATAGTTAAAAACATTCTATCACACTGATAAACTAGGATAAGCTATTCTTCCTCTTTGAGTATTTGGGTTTTTACCATTTTTTGCTGTTATACAACAACAAATGTACTATTTACAGATTGCTTTTTTCCTCTTATATTATTTTCCTGGAATGTATTCTCAGAATGGACCAATAGCTTTGATAGCATTTGACAGCATTTGACATTTGTTCTAAACTCATCTGTTTGTGAAATGTTGTTAGTATTGAATATTCTGTAAATCAAGGTAAAAGATCATAGTGGGTTTAATCTCATTATATCTAGTATTGTCATATAAAGAGGAAATTAAATCAATCTCTCTTGTTCTCAACCTCCCCCCTCTCATACACACACCTGAGAAGAGACAGATAATATCCAGATATATTCCAGGGTATAGTTTGGATGGAGCTTTATGTGGTCCAAGAGTAGAGTCCTTGCAGAGCAGCTGAAAATTGCTGTCAGTTGTGTTATGTTGTATTCCCTATGGAGACAGAGATCTCTGGTCATCCTCTTGAAAGTGTCTCATCCTGAATTCACCTTCCAAGGGCGAAGGCTCTTGCCTTGTCTTTGGAGTTGGCCTTCACTGGGTTCATCCTTGGAAAAGCCTTCCCCAACTGTAATAGTTGAAGTAATGAAAGGACACAGTGAATCTCCAGGAAACCATAATCCAGAGCCCAATCCAGGAAAGAAGGAGCAGAAATGCTGGTAATAGGTATAATATTTGATTTTTATCACACTTTAGAATTTCTCAGAAAATATAATTCTTAAAATATGAGCCTTGATCTTTGGATAGACTGTCATTCTCTAAATTTGGAAGTCAAATATTGAATAAGTAAAGGGTCACTCTCACATGTGTAAATGCTGAAGTAAATTTATATGAGTTCTCCCAAGGAGCAGAGCTCCTTTCAAGACCTTATGCTTCAGGTTGTTAACTACCATCAGGAGGATGTTTATGACCCTCTCTCCAGCAAAGCTCTCTTATTAGAAAATCTAAGCCTTAAAAAAAGGATGCATTAGATGAACTTCACCAATCAGAAAAACAAATGCACTGCATAGTTAAATTCAGATGAAGCCTCTGGCTTACACTCCTCATGGGCCCTGATGTTCTCATGGCCAGATGGAAGTCCAGTCAAGGTATATGTACAGAGTTGAGTTGAAGCAACACTGACTCCACTACCTGCCTCTGGGTGCTCACAGCTGTGATGACTTGAATTTTATGTGAAATGGCCGCTCATCTTAGAGGTTCTCAGTGACCCCAGCTGTCCTCCTTTTGGTGTTATTTACCTGCCACTACCCCCCAGTCCCCAAGGTTGATGGACAAACAGGTGGTTTCCCTCACCCTCTCCTAGCTACTTTCCTCTCTTGAACATGTTGCAAACTGTACTCTGGCTGTTCCCACCCTAAGCCAGATCCATTGGATTTTATCTTTCTGCCAGCTTCAGACTTAAGATGGACTTTTATTTTTCATCTCTACTGAATACTTTAAAAACACTAGGATGAAATATAGTTTTAAAATAGAAAGCAATATTAAACAAAGCAATCATTCCGGCAGAGTGTCTTGGGTATTATAGAGAACACTAAAAGGTTAAATCCACATTTTGATTAAAGTCAGCCTATTGAAACACCGAGAAAAAAAACAAAACACAAAACCCTGGATGTTCTATAATATAACAAAGAAATATTAAAGAATTCTGATAGCTTTGACATGGAGTTATGACAGGAATCTATGTTTGTGTCAATATACCACAAATTGTATATTTGTTTTTAAGTTACTAACTACAATGGATTTTTCAATTTATTCTCATTTATAACTAGCAACCCACACATACCTACAAATGCCTCTGTAAGTATACTTTGAGATGATTTTACTTGTCAGGGTTATGCATAAAATTTGTCTTCCAATTTTATTATCATAGCCCCTTATATTTGCATTGGGCTTAGTACTTACCGAGCTCTGTCACAAATATTTTATTTATTCATTCCAACAACTCAGTGAAATAGGTGTTGGTATCCTTGTTTTATAGGAAAATGAGTTTCAGACAGATTAAGTAACTTTCCTAAGCTCACAACTGGTATGGGACAGAGTTTAAACCCAAGTCTATGTCTTCTACACATAATGTATAAGATTTTCATGACACCCCAGCCCCACAACCAAATCATTTTTTAATTTTTAATTTAGTAAATTGAAAAATCTGGTAAACAAAATAATATAGCCTTTTCCCCAAATCTATATGACTTTGACACAAAACCATAAAAACTGCTGGTATGAATATGTCCAAACATGGAGTAGGGTGTGATTCTATAACACAGTATGATGTTAATTGGTCCTAGACTAATCCGTTAAGGTTGGGTTCAGAGACAAAAAACAAACTCCCCAAAGAGCAGTAGCAAATCAAGGTAGATTT